CTGGGTCTGCCTATTACACGTGCCGGGTGCTGTTCTAGCCCCCTTACCTGTGTTAACTCGATGCTCGGGCACCCGTGGGCGGGGGATGAGGAAACAGACACGCGGCGAGCTTGCGCGGCGAAGCAGGCTGCAAACCCAGGCAGCCTGAGCCCCCGTCCTCGCAAATTTCAGTTTTAAAATCAACATTTCCTGCTCATATGTCAGGGGTTCTCACCCATGGGTGATTTTGACCCCCAAGGGGCGTTTGTCAATTACTGGAGACGTTTTTGCTCGTCACGACGAGGACTGTGGTTCTGGCACCTAGCAGGTAGAGGCCAGAGACGCCGCCAAGCGTCCTACAAGGCACAGGACAGCCCCCTACGGCAGAGAACTCCCCGACCCAAAACGTCAGTAGGGCCGAGGCGGAGAAACCCTGATCTAATCACATAAAATTCCTGTGAATCCACTAGCCCTCTCTTTCGCATCGCCCTGTGACATGAGGGCAATCAGCACCAATCTGCTTTATTGTGTGAAAGGTATCCTTAAGGATTCACACCGAGATCTTCTCCCACCAGTTGCCCCTAAAGCCTCTTATTCACCGAGAAGGACTGAAGGGCTGCGTGCGTTCAACAGATCTGCTAATGCACTCAGCAGGTGACGGGCTCTGCGGGGCAGCGCAGGCAGAGGAGGAGCCCCCGGAGCAAGTGCGGAGGGACTCGCACCTGCAGCGGACACGATGAGCCAGAGCGCCAGGCGCGGAGTGTTACGGCTGTCCCTGGCACTGAGCCAGCCGCACGCAGCGCGAACGCGCGCTGCTCATCAACACCGTCGGGAGGCGTTCCACCCCAGGATGATTGAACAGTCCCCGGGAACACATCGCCAGCAGCTGCCTCCCCGCTTCCTCCTCACTCAAAGCCCTCACTTCCTAGTCCGCCCCAACAGCCCGTCCCTGGCTTTGGGGGGCAGCGCTGTTAACTCCTCCTCCTCCGTGGAGCCCACAGGGGTCTGCAGGGTCCACAGGGTCTCTGGATAGGGAGCTGGCTGTGCCGTGGAGGGAGGGGGCGTGCCCCTATCTTAATGGCCATGGCACCCCTTCCCGCAATAAGCCCCTTACCTCCCCAAGAACTGGGGTTCAGGAATCAGTGCTTGTTGAATGAATGAACGTGTGAATGTCCAGAAAGGAAACCCCGTGAGATTTCATTCAAAAACATTGACTGAGTGTCTCACCATGCTGGCCACTGTCCTAGAGGCTGAAGGACAGAAGGAACCAAGGCCCTGCTCTCACGAAGCCAGCCTGGGGGTGGAGGGAGACAGGTGTTCTCCCGACAAACAGAGGAACACGGAGTACACTGTCGGGCCACGGGGAGCGCTGTGAAGAGGGAAAGTGAGACGAGGAGGTTGAGACGGACAGATCGGGGGCGAGTCCTCAGACCGCGGGTTTGCAGGCCTCTCCGCGGAGATGGTGTCTGGACAGAGATCCGGTCACGAGGGAACGTGTCCCATGGCCGTGCTGAGAGCAATCAGGGCACAGGCCCGAGGTGGGAGGGGCTTGAGAGAGATGGAGATTCCGCAACTTGACCAGAGGAAGTGGGGGAAGGAGGGTCCTGGCGCCGCCTAAGAGCAGCGGTTCTTCCTCGTGAGCAGGCATCAGCATGGCCAGAAAGGTTCATGAAAACGTAGACCGCGGCCCCCGACCCAGTGTTTGGTTGTCTGGGCCGGGGCCTAGGAATGTGCATTCCTACCCGGTCACTGTGGGCCGCCGGTTCCGCGGGTCCAGCAGCCACAGCCCAGGCTGTGTGGTCCTGCTGCAGCAAGTCCCTCCCTGTCCAGCACTCACCACGAGCGATCCTAGGTCGCATTGCTTCTTCCTCTGCCTCCCCACTGGGTCGGATGTGCCCTGGGAACCCAGGGCAGTCCCGGCCGCAGTGCCTCCTAAGCACTCACGAAAGTGTTTCCTGAAGGAATCCTCACAGGGTTTAGGCCAGGCCCTGACTCGCTCTCTTTTGCTGTTCTGCTGCATACTCAGCCCCCGGCAGGCGCTTGGGCCAGACCTGCTACTCACCAGCCGCCCACCCGAGCGAAGAGTGTCAGCTGCCATTCTTCAGCGCACTGCCCTCCCGCAACCCTGTGTGTGCCCACGCCATTCCGTCTATGCGGCGTGTCCTTTCCTCTCTGCCGGCCTCCGTAACCCCGACCCGTTCCTCGGGGCTCTCCTGCCAGAAGCTCCTTCCCAGCACCCTCCCGCCTGCCCAGGGCTAGGAGTGCTCCTGGGGGTCCTGCGTTCACTCACATCACAAGGATTTGTTCACACAAATTGCCTTCCCTTCTTGACTAGAGGTCACCCTGAGCAGCCCCCCGCCCCCCGCCAAACGAGTCAACAGAGGTGTTCTACTGTGGTGGCGGTGTTTCAAACCGAAGTTCATTGCCCACATTTGAGAGTCAGGGCATTACACACAAACATACAGGATCTGGGCTCCTCCAGAAAAGTCAGGGCGGGCAGTTTCACACGGCCACGACCTGCCAGAGCTGCCTGGGATGCTGTCGCTTTTGATCTGGTGGCGCTGTCAACCAGCACAGTGCCCGGTCCAGGATAGGCACGCAGGAAAAGCTTAGTAATGAAACAGAAAAGAATACTCAAAGTAATTAAAAAGAAAAAAACGTCAGTTCCGCAAAGCAGTGACCAGAAGCTGGTTCTGATTCTGGCTGACTCGCTGCATGACCTTGAGCTCTCTCTGGACCTCAGTTTCCTTGCCCTTTACATTGAGGTAATAATAGTTTTCACTTCCCAGGGGCATCGCATCAAACAAGAGAGGATGCAAAGTGCTTAGCACGTGCCTGGCATATAATGCTCAATCCACATGAGCTGTTATTGCAAGGAACGTAGACCATGTTTACTCTCCAGGATAGGAGGACCTGAGAGAGGAGTTACAGGCAGGGGAGGTCCCTGCGGGGCCAGGGGGTGACAGACCACCAGTTCTACCTTTCACCAGCCGTGTAACCCTGGGCATTTGACTCAGCCTCCTTTGGGTCTCGGTTTCCCCATCTATCAAATGGGAATGATAAGAGCCTCATAGGGGTTATTGTGAACATCAAGTATGAACATGAATATTAAATTAATCCATTAAAGCACTCAGAATGGGGCCAGCATTCAGCATGCTCTCAACACATGCCAGCTCTCACAGTTACATACAGCCGCTCAGAGAGGGGTTAGATTAGAATTTCTCCAGGCCTTTCCTGGTACCCAACCTCTCTGGCCACCTTACAGCCAGTGAATCTGTCATGCAGCTGTCGCTAGTCACCGAGAATGCAGAAAGTCCTTGGGATGGGGAAAGCAGAATTCAGTACACAGGGTTTCCATCCCTCTGGAGAGTCCCAGAATGCTTCATGGTGGTTCTGACCAAAGTCACACAGAGGAGTAGCAGCAGCGGAAGGTGACGGGTAGATGTGGTGCAGAGGAGTGCAGCCCTGCGCAGGACGGGCTGTTACCCCCCTTACGGGGGACACCGAGGCTCCAGAGGATGTCCCCAGATGCCTGTCAGTGTCTCGGCTCCATGGAGCTGCCTCAGAAGGCCGACTCAGTCGTCAAGTCCTTTAGGGGACTGATGGGGTCACAGTGAACAGGACAGCCTGGAGGGGGGGCGGGCAGGAAGACCAGGCAGAGCCTTCCTGATTCACCCAGGCCGGGGGTGTCTGAGACAGACGTGCGTGAGGTCTCCAAAGGAAAAAAAATGGGTAAGGGGCATGAAGGAGAGACAGGTTTGAACCAGAATATCAGGAACGCTTCCCAAGAAGAGAAAATTCCAATTTGCGTGGTTCACTGCGGATTCAGGGCTGCAACCTTCACAGCCATTTACAGAGGGAGTGGGGGTTCACTCCCCCTCACAAGGCGGGTGGAGGCTGCACTGAGACCCAGGGCAGCTGTGAGAGAGCAAAACGTTTCCGGTAACCCAAAGGCCTGTGGTGGCAAACCCCCAAGGCTGCTCCTCCCTTGGGTGGGGGCGCAGCAGGAGTGCGAGCAGGGGTGCCTCTGCCCAATCTATGGCGCCGGGAAACCAAGTCCGACCCGATGCATTTCTTCTCGTGCATTCATTCATTCCGTGGTTGAGTGTTGAGCCCCTACCATGCCTCCAGACACTTACTTGCTCTTTTAAGCCTCGGGACAACCCCTGAAGTGGGCTCAGTAGCCCATCTTTACAGAGGTGACTTGCCTGGGCCGGGAGCACGGCAGTGGACTTAAGTTTGGGTTTCCTAACCGCGGAGCAAGCGGGGCCTCCCTTGCGTGACCACGTCTTGGAGGCTCGCTGTCCATCAATCTGCAATGTGCGACCCGTCCTCCGTTTTCCCCGGGAGGAAATGCGCCCAGAGAAAGGTACTTGAAATTGCTCGGTCCCATCGCTCACCCCCATCAAACTTCGCTTGTTCTCCATCTGTTCACTGACACCGCTTTAAACACTTCCTTTCATATTTTAGATTTTAAAGCGTATAACGTTCGCGGGCTTTAAAAAAACATTTCCCTGCGGGATACAGAGCAAGGACTGGATTTCTTGATGCTCCTCACGGCCGCGCTCCTCCGGACCTGGGAATTCGGGGAGCGACGAGAACCTCTGCACCATCAAACCCGCTTTAAGTTCTGAGGCCTGGTGTGCTGCGCAGGCGCCGCCCCGGTCTCCCGGGCTCCTGACCCGGCCACTAGTGGGCGAACCCACATTCAGAAGGACAGGGGATACGGCGAATCCCCATTCTTCGCGAAGATGGGCCAAGCCAGCCTCTGGCCAATCAGAAGGCTTCTTTTATCACTGCTCTGGAGACAAGATGTTGGAGCTTGTTTTCCCTGAACTTTCCGGCAGTGAGGAGGAACAAGATGCGGAAATGATTGACATTTCCTACAACCATTAACCAAGCGATATAAGCTTGAAGAGCGGACATTACTACGAATTGTCTTACAAGAAAGGTCTGTTAGCCCCGCCTCCCCCTTCCACTGGTCCCCGAAAGCTTTGGAAGAAGCTGGTGGTGACAGCCAATCGAGGCCCAGCGAGAAGACCGAGGAGGCGGGGCAGGCGGGCGCCGTTGCTTAGCTAGTTTGTCCCGCGCTGTGCTTGGGAACCTGGGGTTTCGGATTCACTCTTCCTGATGATCCCCACTGGCAGGGGCTGGGCGGGGAACGAGATCCGAGAGCCGCGTCACCTCGCTGGCACCTTCCAGGCTGCCTACTGAGGCCTTGATCTGGGCTCCATCTCGCGCTCCACTGCGTCCTCGCCCACCCTTGGAGCCTATAGCCGCCCCCTGTCCTGCCCAGAGGGTCCAGGTCCCATCTGTCCCTGTCCCCACAGCAGCCACAGGCCCCATCGCCTCTAGCCTCCACTGTGATCCGTGGAGGTGGTTGGTTACCATGGTGAAGCTGGCAGCCAAATGCATTCTGGCAGGTGAGTCTGAAATTTACAGTGTCCTGAGTCCAGAGACTCGTAAGTTATCGAGAGATTTTGTTCACATAAATTGTCTTCTCTCTTTCCCTTTCCCAAAAGCGATTTAATGCAATTGCTAAAAGTGTCGACTCCCTTAGATGTTAAAGAACTGTCTTCCAGAGCACGTTGGTAGCTCCGGCTGATTTCCCCAGCTCCCTGCCGCACTCTGAGACCGCCTTCACCAGTCTGAGCTGTGCTCAGGGGGCTCAGGCTAAGCACAGCGAAGGTGCTCCCGCTAAACCACTGTTAGGCAGCAGTGTCTTCGGTTGTCTTTTCTTAGGGGATTTTCCCTGACCCTGCCCCCTCTGGTACCTGGGATTAGAGACAGTACCCTTGACCAGAGTTTACAAAAAGCCCAAAGTTACTGTGCTGCCCCACGCTCAGGGGCACATAAATGTTAAATCCCCCCAAGTCAGGAATCTGTTTTGTTAACTGATGCATGCCAAGCACCCCAACGGAATCTGGAAGCTAATAGGTCCTCGGTAAATATGTGCAGAAGGGTGAATAGGTGGCATTCACAGTGCTGGTGCGCTCTTTGTACCAGACCTCACATGTAGGACAGCATTTGCCTGGATTATAGACCTGGGACCACAGGACGCACATGCGTACTTCGCTGAGCCCTTACTGCCTGCCGGTTGCGGTCATTCCATTACACCCTCACAGTATCACCCTGGGGTGGGTGCTGTGCTGTGTTCTTCTGATCTTACTAAAAAGTCAAGTCTCTGGCCGGAGGTCACCCCGAGCGACAGAAGGGCACAGGCGGGATTGCATCCCCCAGGTCTGCCCGACTCCACAGCTCTCCTCCCAGTCACTCCTGAGCCCTGCGGCCTGTCCGGGGCTCCGGGACCGCTCAGGAGAGCTGCAGGGAGAGCGTGTAAAGAGCAAAAAGAGATTCTTCTTGTTTTTTGATTCATCTCTTCCAGACTGAAATAGATGATCTTTCTAATGACTTTTCTCACTTGGACATAAAAGGGTCACACAGAAAGCTGACTGACAGCAGTAACTCAAATCGTCCGGGAGCAAAAGAAATGACTGGTCCCCAAAAGAGGTTTCCGGAGCGCCAGGGGGGGCAGTATTGTGCAACGAAAGTAACTCCGCCCGTCTCTCATTGGCTCTGCCCCTGGGGACGCTTCTCTGAGCCTCAGTTTCCTCTTGGATAAGGGGGGAGGTTTTTATTTTCTGAATTACGTTTTTTCAGAATGGGCTTTTCTCTTCCACCATTTGTTCTCTCATTTCTTTTTTCAATTCACCTTCCAACACAGAGCTAACTGCTGAGCGCTGTCCATGGGCAGGCGCCATGCAGACCCTCACCGCAGTCGTCCCGCTGAGTCCTGGCACAGCTCTGGGGTCAGTACCATTGCCATCGCCGCTTACAGATGGCGCAGCTGAGGCCCTGGGGGGTCAGGACACTTGCCCTGGGCCACACCAGGTGACCTGACTTCCAGGGCTTTGTCCTTAGTCCCGAGCTGTCCTGTCCCGAGCCCCCATTATGGACTCTGCCCCTGGCACCCCTCCCTCAGGTACTGTTTCACTCGATTGCAACCGCTGCCTGGGTGCGTGCTGAGCTCCAGCCCAGCCCTCCGTCTGCAGCCCCCTTTCCAAGCCTCAGGGTATCTCCTCTGGGAAGTTCCCAGGGACCAGAAGGCGGCAGCACAGCGAGCCAGCTCCATCCGCACCGCCCCACCTCACACTCCCCCCTCTCTGGTTTTGGTTTCCTGGCCCCTCACAGGCCTGCTGTTTCGATTGAGTTAATCTACCTTTTGGCTCTCACATAACTGGTCATTAAAGGAGCTCATGTTCGATGCAAGCACTTAGTTATCCACCAGGTATTTACTGAGCACCTACTAAGTGTGAGTCAGCATTCGAGGTGCACTGGGAATAGGGGATGGGTCAGCCAGCCCCTGCACGCAAGGAAGCTCGGAGATGCACTGAGTATCTTACAATGCGACAGACTGCACTGCCCTCTGTGCGCAGGCGCCAGAGAAGTACCTCAGCGGCACAGCCGCTGACGGTGCCGGCTCGGATTGGGAGACAGAATCGCCCTTGACATTCACCTGCATGTGACTTACCATCCATCAGACGCTGTACTGGTGAACTCATTAAATCCTCAAAAATTCCATGAAATAGGTGCTGTTATCCCCATTTTGCAGACGGGACAACAGAGGCCCAGAGAGGTTGCTGACGCAAGGTCGCACAGCTTGGAAGTGACGGAGCTGGAGGCAGTGCCCTGAGTACTGTGGTTACTGCCTCTCAGTATACGTGGGGGTGACGGCCGCGCCTCCCTGGAAGGCCGTACTGATGGCGGGTCTCATGGGGCCGCACGAGCTGCACAGGGAGATGGAGGAGGGAGAGCGGACCTTCAGAGGCTGTGCGGGGCTTGGACTTGGACTGGGGAGACCTGGCAGGAGGGGTTTTCAGAGATCAAGAGGATCGGTACACAGATACCGAATGACCACGTTGTACACCTGAAACACACAGGGTCCGGCACAAGTAATGCCCCTCTTTATTACAAAAATCATAAGTGTGTAGTTCTATAACATAACAATGTCACACTCAAGTACAGTGTAGGAAGTTTTAGGGGAAGTGTCCAAATTAAAACTATAAATTATTACACCCATATTATGACCCTACCAACCACACGGTACTTCCGCCGGACCCTGTATATAATGTTACTAACCACTGTTACCTCAATAAAAAAAAGAAAGATAAGGATGTGTTACTGCAGGCGCCCACACACAGACAGGAGACGTGCGGAGCAGAGAGGTCGTGTGAGGGGTGGTCGGAGAGCTGGGTGGAAGGAGGGGTGGGGACGGCCAGGAGCAGGCAGATACCGGGAGGAGCCCTCAGCAGGCTCCGGGGCAGAGTGGCGGGACCGAGGGCTGTGTTCTGTAGGGCAGGCTGTGCGTGATGATGAGCTCCGGTGGGTGGGAACGGGGAATACACGAAAAGGAGAGGGCCGGTTGGGAAGTATTGTCAGGCAAGGCCCAGCCGAGGAAACAGGAAATGCACCAGGCATTTCAGCAGAGAAAGTTCAGTGTACGGGATTGGTCCGATGGGCGCTGGAGGCCAAAAGGGCAGAACGAAAACACTGGGGACACAGAGCCGGTGGGGAGGGGCATGGCCGCTGGAAGCTTGAGAAGAAGAGCCCCTTGGAGCAGGCCCAGACCTCTGAGGAGGCTGCCCAGCTCGGCCATGCCTCAGGGATCCCGTCCCCAGCGTGTGAGGCTGTCCCATGCCACAGGTCCCTGGGGCCTTGCCCACCAGCCAGGAGCTCAGCCCTGAGCTGAGAGCAAGACACAGCCCATTTTAGACCAGCCAGAGGGCCCGTGTCTCGAGGTCACTTCTGGCACCCGCGTGCTACAGAGGTCAGGGGCCAAGCACAGAGCAGCAGCTGCACTGTGTTTCGGCGGTGAGGGTTTAGAGTGGGATGGTAACCCAACATGGAGGACTGGAGAGACAAAAGGGGACAGACAGCAAGGAGCCTTGCCCCAGGGCCCAGGGGGTTAGGGGCTGCCACGGAAGCCCAGGTGTGAGGCTACCAGGGCCGCATGAGCAGTGACACCAAGGTCCTGTGGGCGTCAGGGATGACGAGGAGACCGACTGAGCGTGGGAGGAAGGAGGAGGGTCTGCAGTGACCGGGGGTGAGGTCCGAGGACAGTGAGAGTGAATGGGGACGTGGTGAACGGAGCAAACGAGCGGGGGCGAGGCCGCTCAGGACCCTGAGCCCGGCTGCGGACGGCAGGCGGGGAAGGCCGCCGTGCCACAGTGGCAGTCAAGGTAGCGAGTGAAGGGGACAGAGTAGGCGGGGGGCAGAGGGCCAAGGACAGACCTCCAGAGGGGCCCGCGTTGGGGAGGCGCGTTGGGGAGGCGGGAGGACCAGGCCAGGGCTCAGGAAGGAGGAGGCCACTTCCGGCTGACTCATCCTCCGAGACGGCGAGGAGCAAGAGGACTGAGAAAAGGCCACTGGACTCGGCTATTCTTGAGGTCGCCCTCGCCTGCTGCCTTCTGAGATGTCACCCCCCTGTCAAGCAGTGCCCCTCCCCGGTGTCACCCCCAGGCTCAGCCGCAGCCGCTGGGCCGCCTGCCCGCTGACGAAACGACGCATCCATCCTTTCCCCGACGCGCCCTCGGACGCGCGGGTTCTCGGCTTGCGCTGCGCGAGTTTGCACTTGTCATCTTGCTGCTCTGCAGACGTGTTTATCGGCCCTCTCCCCTCCCTGTGCTCGGCTCCCTCCCCGGCCGACACAGGAGGTTTTCCGTGTGAGAGTGGGTGACTGCGGCTGGCAGTGGCAGTCGGAGGAAAGATTTATGAAATTAACAGAGCAAATCTGTGGGGAGTTTCACAAGCAGGAAGAGCCAATTTCCGACTGGATTCCGAAGCCAAGTGGGAGGGCGGGAGCCGTCATAAGGCAAGGAGAGTGATGGGCGCACTGTACTCGGAGATGGGGGGCACCCAGTGACACCCCGGCTTGCGGCTGCCCCCAGTGTCATGGAGGGCTGCTCTGATGAGGGCCTGGAGGGGCGGTGTTAAACGTGGGTCAGGAGGGTCCCTGAGCTGGAGGAGAGGGGTGGGGTCTGGCTGAGAGAGCGTGATGTTGGAATCCTGGGGAGATGGTCGTCTGTCCAGCGAGGTTAAGAGTGGTCCGGGGGCAGGGGGAGGGTGTTGAATGAGATTGTATGAATGGGTTCGGGAGGCAGGCCCTCACCTGGGTTAGTCCCCTTGTAAGATGTGGCGGAAATACTAGAAGAGCAGGGCCTGAATCGCTCGTGTAAACCCGGAGGAATTAACATGAAACAAAATGCCACGAGCAAGTCAGACCATTGTCTCACAAGGGAAGACTGTAGGTGAGAAAAGTCAAAGCTGGAAAGCGAACAGAGCGGGAGGCTACCAAGAAATCGGGCAGAGAGGAGTGTTGCAGCTGACTGTGAACTGGGCGGCAAAGTGAAGGGGTCGCACCGAAGGGTGCGAGCCGGGGGCCGTGGGGGTTTGTGGGGAGAGAGTGGGAAACACCTGTCCTGTTTGGGGCGCTGGGTGCCGGTGGAGAGTCTGGTAAGACTCGAGGTGGAGGAGGTCTTGCAAGTAGAAGCAGCGCAGCATGGAAGGAGGCCGGGCAGGGCGGCCGGTGGGGAGGCAGGAAGGGCCCGGGGCCAGGAAGGGTGCGCACGGAGAGCCGCTCGCAGCCTCGGGGGCAGGGCAGGCACTCCCAATTCCCCTGCCGCCAGCAGCCCCATGAGAGGTCGGCTCTCAGGCTGGAACTGGGGCGTAAACCTTCAGTTTGGAGGCTCCGATTTGTGGGGTTCTCGACTAGCAAAGGAGCGCCTCGAGGTGGGAGGTGAGCCCGGAGAGGGCAGTTGCTGCCGTAGACAGGCTTGGCCCCTGGGAGGACGGACGCCAGTGGCCACGGGGGCACGCCCAGATGGAGGGCAGGGTGCCACGTGGAAGTGGGTTTCAGGACAGCATCTTTAGTTTCCCGTACATGCAGAACACCCTCCCCCCTCGCCCGCCAGAAAGAAAAGTAGGCAGGGCGCTAACCATGGGAGCTCTCGCCTCGACTGGTTCAGTCAGTCAGTCAGCTGAGCCCCCCAGTCGGCCTGGCCACACCCCTGTACCTCCAGGACGTGGAAGCAAATTCTGGGGTGAGAGGGACAGGTTTCCCCCGCAGGGGACAGGGGACATGTCTGGGGAAGAGTGGCCGTTCTGTTCCCAGTGCCCAGTGCCTCCAGCTCTGTCACCTTCCGGGCCAGCTCTTCTGGATGGAAGGACTGGCCTTGCAGAAATGCGAGCCCGGCCATCGATGGTCTCAGGCACCTGCTGCCCTGCCAGCGACCTCACAGCGACTCCCTGGGAGAATCAAGCACGTTTTCTCTGATGAGAGTGCCCTGAAGTTTGTGGTTTCTAGACGAGCGTTCTGGAGTGGGTGGGGGGGCTCGAGTCGGGCGAGGACGGAGGTGATGCTTGTCTGGCACTCTGTCCCCCCAGGAGACCCCGCGGTGGGCAAGACCGCCCTGGCGCAGATCTTCCGCAGCGACGGGGCCCACTTCCAGAAGAGCTACACCCTGGTGAGTTGGGCCGGGGGCGGGGGAGAGGGGGGTGGGGGCGGGCCGAGGCGCGCAGGGCGGTGACCGCACAGGTTTTCCAATGGCCCCGAGGAGCCCCGAGAGCCCTGCCCAGAGGCTGCCGGGATGACCCCGTAGACAGTGTTTTCCCACAAGCCTCAGGGCAGACCAGGCCCCCCAGTGGGCGACTCTGCCATCGCGCACAGCTCGCTCCTGGGCAGGGAGCTGGGCGAGACCAGCTGGTCCCTGCTGACTTCCGCACCGACAGCGAGCCCGGGACTCGAACACCTGCACCGGGACACGTCTCCTGGGTGCGGTGCCTGTTGCGTCCCGCTCCGGGGCACCCCGAGGGGCCCTCTGACACGCGCCGTGTCGGTTTTCCTCGGCAGACCACGGGGGTGGACCTGGTGGTGAAGACGGTGCCGGTTCCCAACACGGGGGACAGCGTGGTGAGTGGGGCCCTGGCCCCGAGGGAGCTCAGTGCCGCTGCGGCAGGGCCCGGGGCCCCCGCGTTCTGGGCTCCCCTGAGCGGCGTTGGGGACAGAGTTGTGGGGCGGCCGAGGAAAGGGTGTCCCCGGGAGGGCGGACGAAGAGGAAGTGAGGCTGGGACGGGGGCGTTGCCCTCGCAGACGCACCCCTCACTTCCTGCACCGGGCCCCCTCTTCTCGGGAGCCCACAGCTCCTGCAGTTGAACTGCAAGCTGTCGTTTGCGTGGGCTGTCCCCACAGGTGGGGAGAGGATGTAGGAGTCACCAGGTGGTTAAAGAGGTCCATGATGCAGGGAGAAGGGACAGGACGGTGCCCGGGTGACCTGCGTGTGACTCGGGTCACGGCGCCGAGGTCCAGACCCCCTGGGCCGGGGTTGGCACCCAGCCAGGAACGTCCAGTGCCTGGAGGGAGGTTAGGGGAGGCCCCCCCTAGGCGACAGCCCTGGCGAGGGGCTCTGCCACGGGCCCGCTGAGGCTCGGGCTGGGCGGGAAGGGTCACCCTGCGTCCCCTGTCAGAACAGGACCGTAGCCATCCAGGATGGTGACAGACTGTCCTACTTTACACTCCTTCGCAGGCCTTCTCAGTGACCTCCTTTGAAGGAATGGTTTTAAGATTTGAAAATCAATTTGGTTAACAAAGTGCAGAGTGACCTTTTGGAAACCAGAGCACTTGTCAGCCTGTTTAGCATTCTGTTCTGCCAGGTGGGAAGTCAGCTTGTTCCTGGTATTTTTGCTCTCGAGGTTAGGGGAGGTGAGCGCCGCGCGGAGGGTGCCGGGAGGGGCGGGGAGCGGCCCTGCGGCCTCACCGGGGTTCCGGAGGCCGCTCCTCTCCCCGCCGCCTGCCTGGTGCCCCGGAGAGAAGGGGCAGCCCCCAGGCCGCTAGTGGTGCCCGCCCCCCAGGGGGATGGGCATTCTTAGGTCACGCCTTTCCTATTCCAGGAGCTCTTCATTTTTGACTCTGCTGGCAAGGAACTGTTTTCTGAGATGCTGGATAAGTTGGCAAGTAGCATGCCGTTTCATTTCCTAACCTGCACCACCTCCCGCCAGAAGGTTCGCCCCTTACCACGCCCCCGAGGAGACTTCACTGCCTGCTCTGGCTGCTGAGAGAGGCTGTCGTGACAAAGTTCTGGAAGGGGCGCCCCTCCCAGCCTTGGGACTGGCGGCCCCTTGGCTAGTGGGAACAGCTCCGGCATGTGATTCTCCCCTCCCCGGCCCCCAGCTCTGAATGGCCGGGTCCCCAGCGTGCCAGAGTGGGGTGGCTCGGTCCTCGTAGCTGCCCTTTCTGGGGCCTCCCTGCCCTTGAACACCCCCTCCTGATGGTGCCCTTTCAGCCCTCCAACCCGGCCTCCTGGAACAGGGACCGACGTTTCCACCCCCTGCCTGCGGGGGTGAGGCGCCCCACTTCGTGAGGCTCACCTTCCCGGGCCGCTCCCCGATCCCATGGGTCCGGCTCTGGGACGTGCCCCTGCTGCCCAGGGCCCGTCACGCCCACCCGGCCAGCCACCCTCTCGGGCTCCAGCCTGCCGCGCCTTCCCAGGGAACAGCTGCACTAATCTGGGCCAGGGAGCTAATTAGAAGGGTTGCACTCTCCAGAGCCCTCCCCTGCCTTTCCAAGAACGGCCACATTTTAATGGAAACTGTCTTCTGCCCCCTTTTTTGTTACTGTTGTCCAAGAGATACAGATCTGATGGTGGTAAGTTCATGTTCCCCCATGCCCACCTACTATGTGCATGGCCCGGTGCTGGGTGCTGCCCTGCCCAGCAGGAGGTCAGGGCCATGTTCAGCTCACACTCCGACTCCAGGCTCTCTGCTCCAGCTCCAGCTCGACCTGAGCACTGGCCCGAGTCTCTCGCTGAGGCTGGAGGGAGCAGGAGGTGTCTCCTGCAGGCACACGGGGACGGGGTGGGGGGCCAGTGTGATCCTGGCTTGAGTTCTGAGATGGTCTGCAGAGTGAGGGTGTGAGGGAACCATCAGGTAGTCCGTGCTCCCCCATCCTGGAAGCCTCCGGGAGCCAGGGTGGCCTTGGGGACAGCGAGGTGAGTCCTCCAAAGTGACCCTGGGCTCCTTCCAAGGACAACCAGAGGGAAAGGGTTCCTCCTCACACCCTGGGAGGTCACAACACCCCACAAGTAACCCAGATTCTCACTATGCAGGGTGGGGGTCTGCAGGGACCAGGGCATGGCCACAGGTCCCGTGCAGCCCTGCTGGGCTGCCCTTGGGCCCTGTGCCAGCACGGCGGGCTCTGTCTGGTGGTCTGGTTTGGATCAGGGCCGGGGCACTGCAGGAGAGGCAGGAAGCGCCCTTGGCATTGTGAAAAGCCGGCCCTTGTTACAGAGATGCGAGCCCACGAGCGTCCAGGGGGCTGGCCGAGGAAGGAAAGGGCGCTGTCCTGGGCCCGCAGAGCAGGCAGGCGTGCCAGCTCCCATCGGAGTGGGCTGTCCGGGGAATGCGTGCGCGGACGGACGGCTGAGGCCGTGGCAGGGAGAGAGAAGCTGCAGTCCCACCCTGCAGGGCTGCTGCACGGTAGGGACCGAGGCCAGCCGGCAGAGCTGGGAGGTTTCACGCCGATGCCAGAGCGCCCCGCACAGAGCCCGGTACAGATGTGAGCTCCCACTGCACACCCCACCCCACCCCGCCGTGTGCCCACCCACTCACTCCTGTGGGCGAGGCTCAGCTTCCTGACTCATGGCCTCTACAGTTTTTCGTTTCCCTTCGTCCACGTGTCCCTTCCCAGAAAACTGGCCCAGCTCTCTCCCACCGTAGAAGTCACTGTCACCGTTCCTGATGTGCCCATCCTGTCCCTCCTGCACACAGTGGGAGGGTCCCGACGTCCTGTGTCTCGTGTACGACGTGACCAACGAGCAGTCCTTCGGCAGCTGCGGCAAGTGGCTGGAGAAGGCGCAGGTGCAGGTTCCAGGCGCCTCCCTCCCAGGTAGGAGCCGCAGGTGCCCAGGTTCGCCAGCAGCACCGCTGCCGTTCAGGTCGAAGGGCACAAGGTCACCGCACAGCTGGCTGTGGGTGCAGAAAGGGGAGCCCCGGGGTTTGAGGGCGATGGTCTGGCGGGTCCACAGAAACCTCAGCAAGTAACCACACACCTCTGAGTCTGTCCAGTGGGCGCGAGGACGCCCACCTTGCAGGGTGTGGGGGCCTCGGGCAACAAGGGGAGGGGCAGTGGTGGGGACACGAGCTGGTATTTCTGGGAAGCGAACCCAGACAGTTGCCTCGCCTTCTCCCGTGCGGGGGGCGCAAGTAAACAGGCAAGTGCTGTTGTCACTTCTGAATGCGTTAAGTCAGTTTATTTTTCATCCTCCTGTGAGATCAACACACTCTCCTCATTACAGACCGGGAGGAACGGTCCCCAGAGACAGGCTGGGAAACCAGCCGCAGCTCCTGCAGCTGGGGGCGGAACGAAATTACCTCTGGATCCCTGACTCTGAGCCGGGGCCTCAGATTAGCGCTAATGACCGTTTCTAAAGCTCGCCCCACGCGCTAGGAGTTTACCGCAAACGCTCGCAGGGGGTCACCCTCCCCTTCGGGACACCTGCAGCCCGGAGGCGACAGAGCGGACACATGGGGGTCTAGACAAGGGGGCACGCAGAAGCTGGTGTGAAAAGCAAAGCCTGCTCTGCTGTGGCCCTGGGGGGGGTCAACACGTTAGTGTCCCCCTCTCGCTCACCACCTCGAACCGGGCGCGCTGTCACGTGACCTTTCGTGCCCCTCGGACTCAGCCCGCTCGCCCTGTCCTGTCCCCGCTGGCCGCGCGGACCGCCGGCTCAGCGCGGCGCTTTGGTTGCTCCTCCCGAGCAGGTGTGCTGGTGGGCAACAAGACAGACCTGGCCAGCAGACGGGTGGTGCAGTCGGCGCAGGCGCGCGCCTGGGCGCTGGGCCAAGGCCTGGAGTGTTTTGAGACATCGGTGGTAAGTGTCTCCGCTGGCTCCGTAGCCCGGGCTGGAGCAGGCCTCTGGGGGGAGCGGCTCCTCGCGTGACCCCACGGGCCTCGACCGAGTTGTTACCCCGCCACTCGCAGAGTTGATTCGGAACTGATGTTTGCCCCCTCAGCCTGGGATCTCTTCTCGTGATGGCAGGAGTCATGCACGTGTTTCAGTAGAGCCCAGCCCCGGCAAGGGCTGCGTCTCAGCCAGGGAGAGGTCCGAGCGGGTTGTGTTCAGTTGCAGTGACACTTGACCTTTGCTCGTGGGTTAGCAGGTGTTGCTGGGACATGACGTCACAGACGCTCACACTCAGTCCCGTGAGCAGGAGCCGGTCCCCCAGGTCCCACTGCCACACTGAGGAGGTGGAGTGACTGGCCCAAGGCCACACGGCTGACTAGAGGAGGGTTGAGCCAGGAGTAGGACCTGACCCCCTCAGTGCGCCCTGTCCTGCCTCGCTGCAGCCACAGGGCGACTGCAGGCCCCAAGCCGTGCCCTGGCAGAGTTGGCGGGAGCCCTCGCTGGGCGGACCGGCCCGGGCGAATTGCTGCCAGCACCCTCAGTGCACACACGTGACGATTTTAGCCGTCCAGTGTCGGTGAACTGCCTTCCTGTGTTGGGGGTTTTGAGGTCCCAGCCTCCCTGCCCCCAGGGTGTAGGCGTATGACCCAGGCTGTACCCGTCAGATGTGCTGGGGTGACGGTTTCCCACAGAGGGCAGTGAAGTGAAGGCCAGTCCCACGGGAGCAGCCCAGAGCCGTTCACTCCAGAGCCCCGGTGGCCCAGTGCTGGCTGCCGGGGAGACTCGCAGGCCTGGCCTGTCCGAGGTTGTAACTGGACCTCACCCCTGGCTGAGTGGCCTCCGGGCCTGAGTCTTTGCCCCTCCCACAGAGCCCTCGGACTAACCAGTAGCCTGGAGGTCTGCCACTCCAAATCTCCTTCAGCTACAGAAGGTTAAAGCAAGCAACAGCACTTCTGCTGTTGCTTCTGTACAACTCGGCAGACAAATGCTGCCGTTCAGTTGCTGCATGGTCGTGAGCTTTCAAAACCCCCCAAGAAGGCATGCTTCCTTCAGGAAAGCGCAGAGAGGAAAGGCAGGCTCTCTGAGCGCCCACATGAGGGGCAGGACTGGCTGGGGGTCCTCGGCGTGCTATCTACCTGTGGGTGCCTGGGCTCCTCACCTGTGAAGTGGGGATAGTGGGCCACGTCCCTCACTGCGTGGCGGATACGAGAACTAAGTCAGATGGTGACTGTGAAAACAGCACCAAGTCCGGTGCGCAGTGAGCACTCAAGGTATGCCAACTTTTAAAGAGTATATCTACCCCTAGCGATCTTGTTTATACTCCTACTATTTACTAAATCCTTGAACCCACATATTGTTTGAAGACAAAAGCCACTCTTGCCTCTGGCCCAAGGAGCACAGACACTGAATTCATGACCACGAGTCAGATTAGCGAGCTTTTGCTGCGTGGAGCATCTTCACGCAGCACCTTCGAGCAAAGCAGCGGGCCGCGCCGCCCGCAGCAGATGACATTTTAGTGTTCCCCCTGCAGCCTTCGCATTTGCACAGCTGCCTCCTCGCCCCGAAAGCCCATACACCCCGGGACTCTTGGTGGAGCCCAAAGGTAGCACCTACGCCAACTCATCTGTCAGCAGAGGCTCCTGGGCTGTGGGTGCTCAATTCGGTTCAGTGTGTGTGCGCGCTATTGACTGGGTGCATAAACTGTGCCCGGGGAGGCTGCGGCCAAGCACTCCGTGTTAACTGTGCAGGCTAACTAGTCCCCCTGAGGCGGCTCGGGTAAGAGCTGTAATCAAAAAGGCCACCTAACGAGATGCTGTTTGACACACGGCCAAGCCCTGACGCTGAGCTCACCTCCTCCTCTCTCCCACTGAACACAGCGGGCCCGTCCGTCCAGGGCGCCTGATGGCGGCGCCCGCGTGGCTCCCCAACCAGTGTTTTTGGTTTTTCATTCCATCCCCAGAAATCACTCATCTTACAACTGGAAGTTCATACTCTTTGATCACCTGGACCCATTTCACCCGCCCCCCACCCACTGTGCCAGCATCCACCAGTCTGCTCTCTGTTCCTGTGGGGTCTTTGTTTCACATTCCGCATGTGGGGAAATCACGCGGTATTTGTCTCTCTCTGACTTCACCCAGCACAGTGCTGTTCTCCGTGGCGGTGGCACCAGCCTGCAGCCCGCCCGCGGGGCACCAGGGTTCCCTTTTCTCCGCCTCCTCACCAGCACCGGTGTACCTTGTCTTTCCACGAGCCATTTCAGCAGGCGCGAGGTGCTGCCTCGTTGCGGGTTCTGTTTGCATTTCCCTGATGGTGCATGATGCTTCGTGCCTTTCTGGGAGCCTGTTGGCCATTTGGATGTTTTCTTTGGAAAAAAAAAAGTCTACTCAGGTCCTTTGCCCACTTTGCACCAGACCACTTGTGTTTTTGCTGTTGAGATGCCTGTGTCGTAGATTTTGGACGCTGACCCCCTCCTCAAAGACGCATGGCCTGCAGACGCTCCCGTTCCGGGGGTGACTTTCCACTTCGTCGGTCACCTCTCCGCCACGCGGGCTTTCCAGCCTCACGCGGTCCTGCTTGGGTTTGTTGTTGTTGCCTGTGCTTTTGGTGTCGGAGCCACAAAACCATTGCCAAGCTCAACGCCAAGCAGCTTTTCTCCCGAAGTTTTTTATCTGGGAGTTCTATGGTCTCAGGTCTTACGTTCAAGTTTTTACTCCGTTTTAATCTTTGTAAGCGGTGTAAAACAGGGGTCCAGTTTTACTATTTGACGTTGGCATTGCCCAGGAGTCCACATTCTGCCCGACAACGCACCTGGCAGGTGTAGCAGGCACAGTTACTTCTTTCATGTCCGCCCGGAGGGTGACGGCTTCGCTGTAGTCGGCAGCCAGGGGTGCGGTGCCCCTGTTCCTCGGGCTGCACGCCGCCCTGTTGTTCCTGATCGCTACAGCGCTCACTGCCACCACTGTCTGCCTCGGTCAGCTTGTTTCCTGTGCCCTGGGGCTTCCCTTGCTAGAAGGTCCAGCTGACCTGCTCCACTGGAACCAGCCGGTGGCTTGGTGCGTTTCTGTCACCGGCTGGCAGAGTCCAGAGGCCGCTCCTCTCAAGCTGCAGAATCTGAATCCCAGGCTGGGTTCTGCACAAACCCTCCGGGCCACCGCCCGGGGCCCAGGCTGCTGTCTGTGCAACCCTGGGCTTGGGGGCTTCGTGCCGTTCTTTGGTTTGGAAATTCTTCCAGGCGTGGGGGAGAGTTCTTCGCCTCTCATCGAGGCTGAACTTTTGTTTGAAACAGGCCCCCATGAGTTCATAGCTGAGCTGCTGCTTGAGAAGTAGTGGGTTCTCTCTTCTGCCAGCTTATTTCTTAAAAAAAAACCCAAAAAACCTAAAATATGTGTACACAGTAAAGCCACAATGGAAAAATATGGAGGCTCCTCAACAATTAAAAGTAGGACTACTGCATGACCCCGCAATCCCGGTCCTGGGTCTCTCCTCGAAGAGAAAGAAAGCACTGGCTGGGAAGGTGCCCTCACCCCGCGTTCACGGCGGCACTACGCAAGGCGGCCGCGACTCGGACACAGCCTGCGTGCCCGTTGATGGATGGGTGGGCCGAGAAACTGGGATTGCCGTAACGGAATATTGTCCATCCACAAAAAGAAAGAAACCCTGACATTTGCAGCAACATGGATGGAACTCGAGGGTGTCGGGCTAAGTGAAATGAGTCCGACAGAGAAGGGTCAGTACCTCTAATCTCTCTAATATGTGAAATTTTTTTAAAAAAAGCTCATAGACACAGAGAACAGACTGATGGTTGCTCAAGTAAGGGTGGGAGAAATGGGTGAACTGGTTGGGGATTTTTTTTGTTTTGTTTTTAGTTTAAATAAATTGAATTTAAAAATTTTTCATATGTATGTGCACCCAAAGAGTGGAAGTCCTCTGGGCACCTCTAGTCACAGAAATGTTATTTTGGTTCTTAAGATGCCCAGTGCTGGTGGGCTGTCAAATTCCTACCTTGGTTCTGAGTCGGCGACTCCCCGCCAGCCACCCTGGGCCGCAGGGCTAGGCTGGCCGCTGCTGCATTCCTGTGCCCGCACCTCCCCCCAGCTCAGCTCGAAGCCTGCAGCCTGCAGGGAAGGGGGGAGGCACGAGGCCTGGGTCTCTGCTGGACTTGCTGAGGCCTCTCAGGACTTGCCAGGTGTCTCAGGGTGACGCTCTGACCACTTCAGAGATGCCCCCGCCGCCCCCGTCAGCGGGGCCCTCCCAGCAGCAGTCTCCCTGTGGCAGGAGATCCTCCTCAGGCCAGGGTACCGCCTCACTCCTCCTGCAGCTGCGGTTCCTGGCCCTCCGTCCTTGCTGGGACCCAGCGCCCCCTGCAGGCTGTCCCTGCAGAGTCCCGCTAGGAGCGCTCCAGCCTGGGAGGTGCAGGGCAGGGCAGCTGCAGCCTCAGTGGACAGAGGAGCAATGCTGCCGTCCCAGTGAACCCGCTCCCGGCGAGGACACGGGAATAGCCAGCCTCGGTCACCCCTCGGTTCTTCCCTAAGCCCCCAGCCTTGGGCTTTCTCGTGGGACCTCCCGCTGAACTAGAGGGGAGGGGGCACCCCTCCTGGAGGGAAATGCCACAGCGCAACCCTTCCCTTGAGGCGAGGGCGGCCCGTGCTGTCTGGCCCTCCCTCTAGTGCGAGGGTCCTTGCTCTCCGTTGTTTTACTGCGGCCTCCGGGGCCTCCATCAGAGTGGAGCCAGAAAGCAGTCCCGTGACGGCCTGCCTCACACAGAGTGAGGGCGGCTGCCAGGACGGGCTCTGCAGGGACAGATCTCGGTTCAGACTCAGCTCCACGACTGACACGTGTGTGGCTTTGGCCAAGTTACTTAATCTCTGCACGTCACCGTTTCCTTCTGATAACGCGGCCCAGTGACAGCGCCTCCCCACGTGGTGCACGCGCCGGGGAAGCGAGGGCAGTGAGTGTGGGCCCCCGACGCGAGGCGGGAGCGGGAGCGGGTGCGCGCCGGCCCTCCGATGACTCACGTCACAGGCGGGCCTCTCCAACCTGTCTCCACAGAAGGAGATGGAGAACTGGGAAGCGCCCTTCCAGCATCTGGCCCGGCAGTTCCACCAGCTGTACCGGGAGAAGGTGGAGGTCTTCCGCGCGCTCGTGTGAGGGGCTGCGTGCTGCTGGCGGCCTGGCAGGGCCGCCCACCCGCCAGTCTCCTTGGAAGCCGAGAGAAGGGGCGGGGGGGGGGGGAGGGTTGGGGGCGGGGCTACCTTGGCCCTTCCCACCTACCGTGACAGCTTTGAATAAAATGAGAACAAGTAGAAGCAGTGGCTCCTTCCGTTCTTGGCCAGGGCAGCCCTGGTTCCATTCCGCGCCTCGCCTGCTGGTTCTCGAGCAGCCCTGGGAGCCAGGCTGGGGCCCTGGGCAGGCCGCCTCCTGGGGGGCCTGGCACTGCCTCCCTCCCTGAAGGGCCTTCACGGAGCACACACCCCGTGGGATGGGATGGCTTACAATTTGCCACAGTTGAGATGCTGGGCTTGGAGCTCCCGGCGGGGCTCAGGGTGCCGACAGCCCTGTCCTGATGAGCGCACACCAGGCTCTGCCGCCTCTTCGCTGTCGGGGTGCCAGAGCTCCCTTGCAGGGGCCACTGTCACCCACAGAACAGCGCCCTCTGCTGGCCTCCCTTGATGCCTCTTAGCGAGGTGCCCGCCCCTCCCAGCTGCCGGGAACCCTGAGCGCCAGGGAGCCCAGAACCAGGCCACTTCCCTTCGGTGACCCGCCTCTCGGAGCCAGGCAGCCGTCATAATTCTTTGCACCGAGCTGGACCGCTTTCCGTCCTGTTTCTGCTGCCAGATTAATCTTCCTAAAACACCACCGCTTCCACTGCTCTGATTAAAGACCCAGGGAGGCCCCTCGCCGCCTCCCGCATGAGGCCGTGTGCAGGCCGCCGGCCAGCACCAGAGGCCGCCTCTGCCTGCCCCCCCCCCGGTCTCGGCCCCTTTGGGTTCTAGAGACCAGAGGGCTTCCTCGCCCCCAGTCCCCGCATCTCTACTCGTGGGAGTGGGGACGTCGTGCGGACGGCGCCAGGCCTGGGGGTCTCGACGACAGTGACAGCAGTGGGAACGGCTCTGATCACTGTGTGTGACCTGCCGCGTCCCTGCGTGAGCTCAGCACCTGACACGCACTTGCTCATTGAATCTTTACAATGGTCCCCTCCCACTTTACAGATGAAGAGCCCGAGTCAGAGAACTGGGGCTTAGCCAAGGGATAGCGGGGCCCAGCTCACAGCCCTCGTCCCCGTGCCCCCTCCCCCCACAGCTGGAACCGGCCTGTTGGGGGCCGAACTCTTTTCATGCACTAAGGGGTAGTCAGGCTGCCCTTCAAGGTCACCGTGATAAGTGAGATGACAGGTGAAAGCTGTCAGCCCCTCCCTTCCCCCTTCCTCCCCTGGTCACTTTTCCCCCGTGAACTCACTGTGGCCACGGCATCTTCCCACTAAGTCATCCTTTCGGAGGACAGCACCGAGGCCGACGGCGTGCCAGCGCTTTTCTGAGCACGAGCAACGCTGAGCTGCCAGTCTCCCGTCACGGGCTCCAGAGGGGAAGACCTGCGAAAACAACCAAGGAGACTTGGAGGGGACATCTCCAGTTGCCCCAGAGCTGGTCCCTGGGAGCCACAGCTGTGGCCAAAGAGACGCTAAGGAACCCACTTCCCAAAGAGATCACAGGAGGCGGGGCCGGGCGCCTCCCCTGTGGCGGTGTCCCTGCCGCCGGCAGCCACCCTCCCCCCCCACTGCTCCTCGCCCCCGCTCTTCCTTGTCTATGTCAGAAGACTGAGTGGTCAGGTCACGGTGTTGGTCAGTGGGTACCACTCCCTGGCCTGCCCCAGCCCCAGAACCAAGCAAAGGAGGTCCCATGGGACCCCTCCTGAGACAGAGGCTGCTGCCCAGCAGAGGAGGCCAGCACTTCGTGCCCCAGCTGGATGCGCCCTGAGCTGCAGGGACCTGGGGCCAACTGCAGGCAGGCACAGGTGACGAGGGTGTCCTTGGGGGAGCTTGGCACGCAGCCCTGAGAACTGGGGGACTCAGTGGGGGGAAGCCTGCACCACCAGCAGGGAGTGCGGGTGTTCTCCACTCATAAGGGGTTCACCCACTGAGAGGGGAGTCGGGGGGCTCTCCAGACAGGTCTGGGCAAAGGGAGCTGCTTGCTCCCTGGAGAGGTCAGGGGCTACCACTGCCAGAAACACCAGCCACGGAGGACGCTCCTCCAGGCACCCCCATCTCCAGGGAGATGGGTCACAAGAAAAGGAACCAGACCAGGAGCAGGCCTGCAAAGGGAAAAGAAGTGCCCTGCCCTGGGGAGGCACCCCGGGGTTGGGGGGGGGGGGGGAGAGAGAGAGAGAGAGAGAGAGAGAGAGAGAGAAAGCTCTTGCTCCCTTCCCCACGTCCGTCCGCAGAGCTTTGAGCCAGCCTGGTCTGAGTGTCAACATCTAGGGGTGCCGGAGAAGGTTCTGATCAGCCTGCCTGAGGAGGGCCCAGCGGGGCAGGGGGTGGGGAGAGGGGGCACTAGGCAGATTGTGATGGAATGAAGCAATTCGGAAACGAGATGGCTCAGGCTTGGAGCCCCGTGAGTTGAGATTCCCCAGCAAACTGGTTGTGCCGTGAATACCCTGGGGAGGCGCCTGCAGACTGTGCCGAGGGCTGTGCAGACCACAGAGCCAGCCCGGGACGGGCGGTGATTGGTGAGGTCACTAAGCTCAGTGGGCAGGAAGAACTCCAAGGATCCAAGGAGAAGTGACATTGAAATGAAGGTCTGACAGCCACGTGGCCACCCGGGGCACAAGCCACCCAGCAGCAAGGACAGCGGGTGCAAACGCCCTGAGGCGTGAACGCGCGGGGCGAGTCCAGGAGCTCTGGACCGGTGAGGGTGCTGCCGGGGTGCATGCCAGGAGAAGCAGAGGTGCTGAGGTGGGTGGGGCCATGCCAGCAGGCATCTGGATTCTCTCACAAGGGCTGCGGGAGCCAGTGGAGGAAAAACATCACAGCTTTGATGTCCTGGTAACGCCTGGCACGGTTTTGGAAATGTCAGTGGCTATTCATTACCTTACTTCCAAAGGAAAAAAAAATCACTATACTTCCCCAAAGAGCTCGGGAAAGACCTCCCTTGAAAAGGTGACATTTAAGGTTTGAGAGGGCGGAGTGACTGGCGCCCCCTGGCCTGGTTGGTCCGTGGGCCCCTCGGGGGGTGGTCCGTGGCAGCGGTGGCCCGTCTTCCACTCTCCCCAGCACCCAGCGCTGGGACTCAGAAGTTCAGCACAATCGTGTGTGTGTGTGGGCTTCGGGGGGTTACAGACCTGGACGGGACCCAGGCCCTGCCCCGGAATCACCCACCACCCATGGAGGAGAAAGCTGGACGTCTGCACCCCAGTGGAACTTGGACAGCACCCCGGCCAGGGTCCCCCGGCTGCAGCGGGGAGGGGGTTGGTGTGGGGGCCGAGAGGTTCTCCCGCTGCCTCCTTCAGGACTCGGGGGAGCTTCTGCTCACTGTCCTGCACGGTCTCCATCCCTCTGGGAGGAGTGGTTGCTCCCTGGCTCTGCGAAGGTGACCCTTCTCCAGTGCCCTTGGCCACCTGCTGACACTGCTGGGTCCACCAGCCAGAAGGACAGGGAAGCCCAGGCAAGCGGGTGGGGGAGGGGCACAGAGGGTGGGTGTTCCGAAAGGTGAACTGGCTCCCCAGGTCAAGCATGGTACCTCTGTGACACTGAGGCACTGTCCCTTGTTGGGGTCCCTGTTCCAACGTGGACAGGGTGGGAGCAGCCCCCCGAGGTCATCCCCAGGCCCCGAGGTTCACCGTGACACCCCTTCCGTGAGAGCCAGCCCTGCAGAGGCCCATGGCCCGGGTGGCACGTTGGGGACTCCGCAAGGAGACCGTCCTCCGCAAGGAGACTCAGGGACAGGAGGCGACCTGCGTCAGCGTCTATGATAAAATACATCTGTCTCGGTGCTAAAGTGTTGTGTCTTTAAAAATGGAATATGGAAAACTAAAAATTTCCTGTCCCAAACTGGGGTGTCAGGAAGCACAGATTCCATTGAGCCCAGAATGGAAACTGAATTCTACCCACTGCAGCCTGGAGGCGCAGAGAGGAGCCTTGGGTCTTGCACGCGTGCGCCCTGTTCCTGCGTCCGTCTCTGGGCAGGGCCCTGCCAGAGTCCGGACACCTGAGGCTGTGCCCTTGCGGAGCTCAAATCCGGTGGGTGCTAGTGAGGGAAGGGCATTCCAGACAAAGGAAGCAGCACGTGCAAAGGCCCTGCGGCGAGCCGCTGGGGGCCCTCCTGGGGAACCGTGCGTGTAGTACAGGGTGAGCAGTCGGGGTGCCCAGCAGGAGAGAGGTTGGAGAGAAGGCCCAAGCGAAAGCAGGGAGCTTTTATCGCACAGAGCAGAGGAGCTGGACTTCTTCCAGAAGGGAGCGAGGAGCCAATAAAGGGTTTTAACAGAGGTGACTCACCTGGGTTTCTGCTGCGGGAAGATTAACCTGGGGGAACCGGAGGACGGATGGGAGAGGAAGTGCCTGGAGGGGAGGAGCCCAGATAAGAAAGCCCGGAGCCGCGGGGCTGAGGCAGAAACGAGGCTTTATCCATCTCCGGCATTAGCACAAACCGGGGAAGTGTCTTTTCAGCCCCATTTAGAGTTGCCTTCCCCGGTTTTCCGCAGAAACCAATCGATTCTTGTTAAGGTGTTATCCTTTACTCACTTCAGAGACAGAGGAACCAGAGAGCAAGGGACTGCGTCGTTAGGTTGCTAGGTTGCAGATTGCTGGTGACGGGGCCGGGACTGGGAACCCGGCCTGCAGCCCTCGGTGGGTTCTGTGATATTCATGGACACAACCCCATTCACTGGTTTTCTCTGCCAGTAAACAGAGCTTGTTCCCATGATAAAAAGGCGAGAAGACCCGGAGGGCTCCTTAGGAGGTCGTATTGACTGGGCTGTGTCCAAATTGTACCTGAGATGTGAGGGAAAAGTGCATTTTTTTTTCCAAAGCTGTTATGTATTAATAACGGGTTCTTGGGGAGTAGGGAGGTGGCCCCAGACTGAGCCTAGGGACAGTGGTACAGGAGAGCAAAGACAGCATGGTCCCTGGTTCCTAGAGGGCGGGGTCCCCATCTGCTGCTCCTCGTAAGTCCCCCGGTAGCAGCTGGGGTGTCGTGGTGAGAGCAGTGGCTTCACATCTGGAGGGT